TTCCCATTACTGTAAAGAGAAATTCAAATAGAAGGAAATGATGCAAAAGCAGCACCTCCCACAGTTAGACTCCTTATTCTACGTAACACACACACGTATGTGTATGTGTGTGTTACACATATTTATTTTATGCAGCTGCCTGGTTGTTATGCGAGTAAGCGAATTCCCACAGAAGGTTAAGGACTGAGGTTAAGGAATCTGGTGTCAGCATAAATGTAAGAGCAGAGAAGGATACAGACTAAATAGTAAAGACTAAGACCCAGTTGTTATATAGTTGTTCTTTTAATTTTTTGGCAATTGTTTTAAAAGCGTTTCTCTAGTTTTGCTCTACTTTCCAAGGGAAAGCCAGGTTAAGTTCTCTGCTAAAACAGAGAAGTTGAGAAGGTAAAGTCATTTTATTCATGACTCATTTCGTCATCTCTCTCCTGGACTCCTGGCCCAGTCTCCGAGTGGGTCTCCCTGCCTGGGCCTGGGCCCCCCATTCTCAGCACAAGAGACAGAGTAATCTTAGTAAAATGCAACCCAGATCGTGTGCCACCTTGTTCAAAATCTTCCAGTACTTTCTATCCGGTTCAGAGTAAAGGGTGAAGGACTCCTGCTGGCACAGTGCCTGTCGCCTCTGACCTGATTGTAAACCCTCCTTGTCCCACCGTAGGGCCTTTGTATTTGTGGTTCTCCTGGAAATTCCACAAATATCTTCATGGCTCGCTCTCTCGCTCTCTCTCTCTCTCTCTCATGTCCTTGAATCAAATGTCACCTTTTCAGTGAGGCCTTCCTTGATTACATTTACAATGTAAAACTGTGAAGTGCCCCCTTGCCTGGCATTTCCTGATCCCATTTCTTGCTCTGTTTTCCTCCAGAGTACTCATCGCCACCTAATATACTATATATTTTATGTATGATAGGTCTCTCCTACCTATCAGGGATCTTGTGTGTTTTGTTCACAGCAACATCCCCACTTCCTATCCACACAAATGGTGCTCAATAAATATTGCTGAATTAATAAATACACTGGACTTATTCTATAGAAATTAACTATAAGGATAAGTTAATTAAAAAAAACAACTAAAAACACCTTGTAGGTAATTAGATTACAGTATGTTAAAACCAAGAGACTTAGCTTTTTAGCTTTATTCATTACCTAGATCATAGCTACAAGATAATCCATTTGAAAACAGTTTTCCCTTCAAAGGTACATATATGTAGATTTATACATAGATCTCTAATAACAACTGATCTTTTAAAAAATATAATGACTGTATTGTTCTCAAGCACCATAGCTTTTTTTCTCTTAGGGCAAAATTTATTCAGTTAAGCAAGAAAAGTAAGATATGAGAGTGAGGATTATTTTCAAAATTGCTTTCTTCAATGTATAAAGAACCCGTAGAAATTGATAAGAAAATGACACATAACTCAACTGTAAATTGGCAAAAGATATTAACTGTTCCCAGAAAAGGAACTGAAAGTGATCTTGAAACACAAAAAGATGCTCAACCTCATCATAAAAAGGAGCAGGAAATTAAAAATTGTGTTGAGATTCCTTTTGTCACCTAACAGATTGGCAAAGTCTGAAAATTTGGCTGTAGCCTGTGGAGTGGAGAAGCAACATACTCATGTGTTTGCTGGTAACACAGCCAAGGGGCACCATCCATTCGGACAATTTGACAGAGTGTTCAAAGTTATAATTGCATATATTTGTTGATTCCTTAACCCTACTTCTGGTAATTTATCCATTACATATACCTGCATACATGTGACATGTATATATATGTACAGGGTTATGATATTTATAATAGCAAAAGTCTGGAAACAACCCAAATGCCCATAAGTAGTGAACAGGTTAAATCCATACAATGGAAAACAACACAGCTCTAAGCCCCACTGGTCTCCTCTATAGAGTGATATGAGAAGACCCACAGGATGCATTAATGAGACAAGCAAGATCCAGAATTGTGTTTAATATTAGAAATATAAAGTATATATATTCATAATTTCCCACAATTACATAAAGGAAAGAAACATAAGAAACTAATAAAATGGGAGGTGTGGGGGGGCAGTGGTTCTGAGGAAGTGGGAAGATGGCAGACAGAGTTGAGGAGGCTTTGCACCATGCTCCTTTTTCTTGTTGTTTGATATCTTGAATTGCTTAAATTTATTAGCTATTAAAAAATTAAGCAAACTATGTATGATCTAGCAATCATACTCCTTGGTATTTGCCCAAAGGAGTTGGAAGCTGATGTCCACACAAAAACCTGCCCACAAGTGGTTATAGCATCTTTATTCATAACTGCCAAAACTTAAAACAATCAAGATGTCCCTCAGGAGGTGAATGGATAAATCGTAATATACCATAATAATGAAATATTTAGCATTAAGAAAGCAGCTATCAAGCCATGAGGAAAGATGAAGGCAACTTAAGTGCATATTACTAAGTGAAAGAAGTCAATCTGAAAAGGCAACACCCTGTAGGTTCCAACTTTATGACATTCTGGCAAAGGCAAAACCATGGAGACAAAAAAAAAAAAGTGGTTGCCAGGGGTTGGGTGGGGGAGAGAAGAATGACAGGCAGAGCACAGAAGATCTTTTAGGGCAGTGAAACTACTCTGTAGGACACTATAATGATGCATACATGTCAGTACACATTTGTCCAAACCCACAGAGCATACAACACCAAGAGCAAACCCTAACATATACTATGAACTATGGATGATAATGCTGCATCAATTTAGGTTCATGAAACTGTAACAGATATATCACTGTAGTGGGAGATGTTGATAATGGAGAGGCTGTGCATGTGCTGGGGCAGGCGTATAGGAGAAACCTCTGCACCTTCTGCTCAATTTTGCTATGAGGCTAAAACTGCTCTAAAAAATGAACTCTATTGAACAAAACAAAACAAAGTACATCCTTAAGGTTCAGATTCTCTTTCTTTCCCTCAGACTTTCTAAGGCACCCTTTGGGGGTAGAATAAGGAGGTGCAGAGTGAGTGGGACAGGCAGACCCTAGCACTGCTGTTTTTCTCATTTGGGAATGACTATCTTCTCCCCCTGGAGGATGAGGTTCGGGAGGTCAGAGGTGAGGACTCCCCTGATGATCTGATTAAGTGCTGCATGAAAGGACTCATAGATTTGCTTCCTTTGCCTCAGTTTATTACCTTGTCTCCCCTTGGCACCTCTCAAGCTAACTCAAAAAACATTTATCATGTCTACTCTTACCTACAAGCCCCAAGCTTCGCCTGGAATATCTTTCTTGTTTGTCAGCACCCACGCCGCTCACCATCCAAACACATCATTCTTCTGGTCCCCTGTTACCTTCTACGTATTAAGTGTCCGTAATGGTATTTATACATAATATTAAATAACTTACACATATATAGCCCAATTTATATATGTCTATCCCGGAAAAGTCACATAAATAATACATTTTAGTTCAGAGCAATAAATATTTATTGAACACCAAAATATGAACTATGCACAGTCCCTGATCTCATGAAGTTCCCCATCTATTAGCTTGACTTGCACTACACATCAGAGGACTTTGCAGAACACATTTAATAAATGCTTTTGTATGTTGTTGATGGAGATTAATTCTGTTCACACCAAAATAAACATATGACTCCACCTTTTCTGGTGCAGAACCTTGGCAAGCCAAATGACTATCTTAATTACTCGTCTCTGCATCTAACTTTATTTATTCAAAATCTTTTCATTGTCTCCTCTATTTTATTTTCCCAGGACTGAAGATTTTAGACACTAACATGGGGAAACTAACCTTTCACAGCCCACATTTGGAACATCTACAAAGAGCCGTGTTCCCAGACTCCATTAGGAAAAGCTGGAGCAATTAGAGGGCGCTTCTTGCTTGGTTAAAAAAAGAAGAAAAAAAATCCATCTTAAATTGTTAAGTTTCTATAGTCTTTCAGAACATAAAAGTTACTTAAAAATTTCAGTAAAAGTACAAAGAGTCCTTGGGGCAAGCCAAGAAGATAGAAGAATTCTCACTCTCAGAAGAAAACTACTGAGAATAAAAATAGTTTCCCAACTCAGTCATTCTTTGGGATTGGTAATTTATTCCTGATGGTGCCCCAAAAGAGGGGAAAAGGAGCAAGAGAATAAACTTGGCTCCCATAACAGAAATTATTCATAGCTCTTTTCCCTCACAAAATAATGGGCTATTAGATCTTCCATAAAACCCCTTTCAGTAATTTCATGGTGGGTCCCCCACACTTTATAATCCACGTTTTGTAACAGAGTAAAAAAAAAAAAAAAAAAAAAGTAAAAAGGCTTATATTCAAATAGTTCATTCTATTGATTTTTATTAAATTTCCAATTCCAAACCTCTCATCTCTCCTATAAAAATTAAATTACATTTCAGATCCTTTCTCTAGGTGTAATTATTAAAACTGAAAGTTTCTTGACTGCCATCTACTGGCGAAGGAAAAAGTGACAACTTATTTTAAAAAGTCTGCATTTTCTCTCAGATTTTCCAGTTTAGAAGTTTAAATATTTTAAATTAAAAAAGATGGCATGCTGTACGACAGACATGCAGGACATTTTATATGTTTAAACTCAAACTAATGGACTATATATATATATCACTAGTTTTAAAAAAAACAAAATGTAAAGTTTTCATTTTTACAATGTAATACTTTTCCTAGTATTGTTTCAAAGAAGTCACACAGATAGATCACAGTATCCTAACTTAAATTTTGTTTTATAGACATGGATGCCAGTCTAACCGATGATGATACGGTTACGTTATTAGCCAGACAACTCAAATGAGATACATATGGTGAAAACCTCTCATAAGGAATGTCATTAATTCTATCTTTACAGACAAATACATTGTAAAAACAAAGGACAACTCCACTAATAGGTAGAACATACAAGAGCAAGTAACCAGAATTTTTCAAGGTATAATATGGAAGCCTGAGGGGGAAAATGTATATATTCACTCTGCAGTTAGGAAGCACTTAGTCATTTGTAATTAATGAAACATACCTGGCTTAAAATGTGGTAAAGAATGAACTCCAGGCCACGTGTCCTCATTTGGCGTTCCAAGAACCTAGTGGAGAGCAGGAAATTGTGGAAACAGACTTATTATTTCCAAAGCACTCAAAATTCTCCAGTGTAGAAAACAGTACACTGCGTATGATGAAACTCTGGATTTTTTTTCCATGATTGTGTGCCAGGGATTTTATTTCAGCAAAAACAAACCCCAAACTAAAAGCTAAAGAGCCACCCAAGATGAATGTCTGTGTTTTAACACATGCAGCTGAACGCAGGCAGTGAAATCTGCTGCATTTTGTCAACCCCAAACTTAATAAGTAGGCTTAGGATGCCAGCGATAAGCTGTCATTTCCATGGAAATGAATCAAGCATGTGTGTGTCCCTCATGATTCCTGCATGAGCTTTTGTCCTTTACTCCAGCATCAGATGTCTCATCATTGAGCAGTTCTACGCATTCTGTCATTTCGTCCCCCACATCCTCTGAGAATCGCAATGTTTCAAAGAAGCAGGACAAACAGCTTGGGATGCTCTCGATGACCCACACCACTCCAGGTAACACCTTTACGTGGCTTAGAATTTCCCCACCCCCCATACTGTCCTCCCTCTACACTCTTTCTTCATCCACATTTTCACCCTCTTTCCCCATTTCCTTTTGTACCACCACGATGTTTGATCTGGTTGAAGGAATTAAAAGGCAACTGCAGTTCACATAGAACGGGGTTCGCCCCATGCGAACACCCAGGTCTACCACAGGTTGCTGTTACAGTCCGTGCTTATGGGAACTCACCAGTCGAGAACAGTGGAGCTGGAGGGTTAAGAGCCCAGACCCTGGAAACAGACTCCGTGGGTTCAAATCCTTGCTCCCCTACTTACTAGTCATGTGACCATGGGCAAGAAATAACCTCACTGATGTTCCTCATTGAACTGAGCTTTCAATTCCCTCCTTTGTAAACTGGGGGTGATAACAGCACCCCCTTCCATTGTGGTGAGAACACTACCTGGCAGGAGTAAGCACTATGTAAGTATTAGATATTATTCAAAGTGCCCCTAGAAAACAGGCTCAGGTCAGGGCGGCACTGGCCGCGTGGCAGAGTCTGGTGCCCCAAGCCGCACGGAACTCAAACTATGATGGACCAACACGCACAGTGCAACAGGTGAGAAAGGGCAACAGATGAGAAAGGGCAACAGATAAAGCCAGAAGCTGGGAAAAGAGGAGGAATGGCAGATACCACGGGAGGGAATGAAGCAAATTCATTTTATCCGAGCATCAGCAGGCAATGCTGTGCAATAAGGAAACGCAGAGCTTTGATGATTTGTGTGTTTATTTACTAGGGGGACGGGGCCCTCATATCAGAGGGGCAAACACGCAGTGTTTCCCTCACGGCTTCCTACTCTGGTGAGTCGGGATTAAATACACGTATGAGGTTCCCCGCTGGGTTCTGGGAAGAGATAATACCATTCTTTTCAAGTGTAACCAATTAATTTGGCAAGCACAATCAACAGTAACAGTAACCTACACAAGGAAGGCCACCCTACGGATGGGCTGGGTGGGAGGTGGGCAGACAGGGAGAGGGCTGGGGAAGGGGGTTGTAAGACAGGAAAGGAGACGGAGACACTGTCTGACAGGAGCTACTGCAGTAACAGTGTCTGCAAAAGGCATTTCCCCCTTCTTTTCACTAATTCTGATGATTATTCCAAGGCAGGGAGACAACCAGGCTTGCGAGCAGCGCACATAGCTCACTGGAGGAATGCTCCCCTTTGAGCTTCCGCTAAAATCTGCATGAAGGACGGGAAGGACTTGAGCAACTAAAGGGAGAAACTTTCGGCTCAAAATCATGACTTGAGCACAATCAATCCAACACATATGACACACACCCTCTGAAGGTGTTATAAACCACAGCAAGTCCAGCCAGAACTTGAGCCTCGTTCTTTCACTCCTAGTAAAGGTACGGTTGTGACCCTAACGGTACATGTCTCTACAATGTTTGTGTCAGCAAAATGCAAAGAAATATATAAGTAGAATGCATAGAAAATGCATAAGTCCTATTTTGAGTTATTGTAACGCCGATTGATGAGACTCTACACCTCAGATTCTCCTGCCTACAACTCCTGGGCCATTTGCACAAGAAATACAATGTGGGTAGAAAGTGGGCAAAGGAAAAGAAATATTAAAAATCAGCCTTTCTTCCTGTGAAAGCCTTTTTGGGAAGGCAATCTGGGTTAAATGCATGGTTAGAGATGACAGGCTACTTGTGCCCAGCAGAAAGTGGGTGTACGTTGTCTCTGACAGATTTTCATTTCTATTAATTGACTAAGACATTCCACAACCAGGACAGGTTTAGGTTAGAAAAAGAGGTATTCCCTAAAAGTAAAAACTAATCTTTTGCAAATAAAACAGGGCAGAAGAAAATAGCACCACCGACCTTTCAAAGGTGGTCCCACGTCTATAAATAGGCAGGCTGATAACATCTGAGGAGGCTTTCAGTCTTAAAGTGACAGGCATGCTATGATAAGTTAAAACGTCTTCTACAAGGTCACTCAAGAAGCTTCACCTGACACCTGTGCCCGTGGCTGGTCCGTCTCCCTGTTCCTTTACTGATCCGTGTCTTCATTGGGCTAACATTTGTTGTGTTCATCACAGAAGATGGAAGGATGAGATGGGGGCTCTGCCGGGAGGTGCTCCCACTCTGAGGCCGATGGGGGGGCAGCGATGGGCTGCCTTCAACACAAGTGCTTCCTCAGAGGTATGGGGAGAAGGAGCTGAGAGCCCAAAGTTGGGGTGTGCCTGAGGTTCCCTGGCGCCGGGGAGAACAGCTGCATGGCAGAGGGAACACTGAGTAATAGCTGGCCAAGTACAGAAAAGGGACGTGGGGGTGGGTAGTGACAGCGGAGAACTCTGGTTAGAAGGAAGGGCTATATCAAAATACTTTCAGTTCTCCAAATTCTCTTGCTCATGCCCCCATACCTTCTCACAGTGGTTTCCTCTTCTGGAATGCCCTGCCCACGACTGGCCAGGTTAACTCCTACTTTTTTTTCTAGCTTCAGCTCCTGAGCCACCCTTTGCTGAAAGACTTTCCGGTCCAAGTTACACGCTGTGATCCTCATAATCTCTGAGGGCTTTGTACAGGATTCCTACAGGACCGACGCATGGCCTTACAATTGTTAGATTACTGGTCTGCCTCCGCAGTGCACCGTAGACCTCCGAGTGGAGACTGCGGTGTTCATATATTTAGATCCCTAGTGCCTACACCAAATACGCCTGACACCAAATATGCACTCAGTACATGTTGACTGAATGAGCGAATGGCGTGTCTGGGTTATAGTGTGTAGTGTCACTGGATTGTTGGCTGGGTTATGGAAGGGGAGGCTAGGGCCAGGGAATGAATAAATGGGGACTGCACTTTATCTCTGTCTCAGGTTTTCTCAGACTACAGGTCACATGACACCCTGAGAGACTGTAAATTTCACAGTGTTCATATCAGCATTTTTCTAATGATGAATAGAACAGGTAATATCAGAAGGTAATATACATGTTAAAGATACATATTGTTTTATGAAACTTTTATTCACCTTACATCTGTGTGAGTATATGTATATGAGTGCTTTATGAGTCATGATGTATTTCTTGGGGCGCCTGGGTGGCTCAGTCGGTTAAACGTCTGCCTTCGGCTCAGGTCATGATCTCAGGGTCCTGGGATGGAGTCCTGCATCGGGCTCCTTGCTTCTCCCTCTGCCCCTCCCCCTGCTTGTGCTCTCTAATAAGTAAATAAAATCTTTAAAAAAACAAAACGTATTTACCATTTAAGAGCCATTTTATAGGCAATAAGAAGTTAAAGCTAAAAATCAAGCTAAAAATCAAGAATGTAGGTGATAAAGCAAATTTGGGGGCTGAGGGCAATGAGTTTAATCCTAGATCTACTGAACGGGAGAAAGGCTTGCAGATCAAGATGGGGGGGCGTGTAAAGAGCAGCGGGAAATACAGATACAGATCTCAGGAGAGGGATTAAAGTCCAGAAAAACATTTGGAACTCTTTAGCCTATTTATGGTAATAGAAAGCAAATGCCAAAACACAAGCTACAAAATGGTCTCACTCCCCTATACTCATGCATACACAGTTCCCAGAAGGGTGTCTCTGTGACTTCCTGGACTTTTAGCATCTGTTAAGAAAAACAAGGGATGATCTCACCTTCTTAGTAGAGGTTTACACTGCCTGACCCTGATGAACTAGGATTTAAGGACCCCAGACTTACTCTTCTGGGCTTACTTCCACACTGACGGGTAATGATTCCACCCACCGTGTCAGCCTCTGTGATGAGCAGAGGAAGACACTCAGAAAAAGAGGGTCTCTCTGCTGAAACATCTACTTTACCACAAACAGACGAAGAGCGGATTCTAAACTTCTAAAGCTCAGAGCTCAAGAACTAGTGCTTGTCAGAAATATTTACTTACCTTTCCAAATTACTAACAGTTGCACGAATTCTCACATTTCCGTGTCAGATCCCAGGTCTGCTAAAAATGAGTCTGTAGGCTTTTCCTGAAGAATACCCACAGTTTAAACAGAACAAGGGCTGCTAATAGTTTTCCTGGGTCAAAGGGTCAGAGGAGTCTCTCACAGAGACTCCGGCGCAGAGGAACTCAGGCTTATCAAATGCAGATAAAACTGGCTCACACGGGTATGTACTAAAGCAGTGATGTACAACGTGCTGGGTTCCCACTTTAGGTTCTTCGGTTTTATGAGGTGGGCATTCTGGGGCAGTGCTGGGTGATTTCAAGCTGACTTAGCAACGAATCCAAGGAAATGGAGAACAACCAGGTAACTGATGATTTTTACACCACAACTCTGAAAGTCCACACATACAACATACATCTTTAAAATCCTAATTGCTTCACAACTGTACTACTTTGGGCTCTGGAAGATTCTTTATGATTCCTCAGGGAGAAGTCCTAAATGCAGCTTGTGAAGAAGCTCGGCAGAACTGGGCTTGGCTGTCACACACTGCACTCTGGAACAGGTGCTATAGAGTTCAAAGATGAGCCACAGAAAAGCAGAACTT